CTTTGTTTTACTTTTACAAACCACTGAGTTTAAACAGAGACATCTGAGTGAGCATGGGTGTGGCGCTATCCATTAGAACATAGTGGACTTGCCAGTGGTTATATCCCTAAAATCAATGACTTCTTCTCGTTTCCATCAACAGCCAACAGTTCTTCAGGGAGGTAGAGGGCTGCATGAATCTTTCCTTACCCATGACTGTTAACAAAGACAGTCTTGCACAGGCTTAGTGCAGGCAACCACAGCTGGTGTGAGTTCACAAATGCAATGACCATGTCAGACCCAGAAGACAGCATTTCAGCCCTACTCCCATCATCTGACTCTTCGATTCTTTCCACCCCCTCTTCTATAATGTTCCCTGAGCCTTGGAATAAATAATAGAAATGTCACATTTATGGAAGAACATGCAATGGTCAATTATTCACAACATTCATGAGTCTCTGCATTAACCACCATTCACTGCAAAACAAAGCTTCTCTGATCAAGGCTGGATAGCAACATTTCCCTAGAGATATAAGCATACATATCTAGAAGGCAGTCTGACAACATAGTTAGCAAAACAACAGCAGTAAGTTCCTGCACAGGGACAATGACTCCCCAGCCATGGACTTTTTACCCAGTCAAGAGTACCAGGCAGCCAGTCGTGGTGGTGCACGCCTGTAGTCCCAGCACTTGGGAGGCAGAGGCAGGCGTATCTCTGTGAGTTCAAGGCCAGCCTGGTCTACATAGTGAGTTCCAGGACAGCTGGGGCTACAAGGAGACCCTGTCTCAAAAAAGGCGAAAAAAAAAAAGTATCAGGCATGAATTCTCTGTGGAGCCAGCCTCAAATCCAAGCAAAGAGCATTTGATTACCCCTGTCATGCCACTATTGCTCCAGTGAGCACATCTTGCCTGGCAGGTCAGTATCACAACATGCTAGCTCCATGCCTGGGTAATACTATTCATGAGTTTTCTTTCCTAGTTGCCCACATTGCACCTTCTGGTACTATGAAAGCTACCCAGCAAGGAAGAAGTTTCCAGTTTTTTTCCAGCTTCATCTCTCATTTGATTACCCCTGTCATGCCACTATTGCTCCAGTGAGCACATCTTGCCTGGCAGGTCAGTATCACAACATGCTAGCTCCATGCCTGGGTAATACTATTCATGAGTTTTCTTTCCTAGTTGCCCACATTGCACCTTCTGGTACTATGAAAGCTACCCAGCAAGGAAGAAGTTTCCAGTTTTTTTCCAGCTTCATCTCTCTGTCCTACAACCAAGGTGTGTAGTGTCTTCAGCAACAGGATCTTACTAAATAGTTCTAGTGGGTAATCCAGAGCAGTGGCAGCATCCAGTGTTGTTTGGGGACCTCAGGAGTTTTCCTGACCAACAAATCATAGGTAATTATTTCACACTTGAACTGAGATTTTGTTGGATGGATTCTGGGGATCAGCATTATTCACCCATGCAAACTCTTTAAA